AGCGTTGCGCCAGCGAATCGAACGTTGCACCAGCGAATCGAACTTTGCGCCAGCGAGTCGAACGATGTACCAGCGACTCAACACTGTTTGACCCAACGTTTAAAGGAAGTCCCGCCACTTTCAAACAGTGTGGTCCTTTAAAGTGGACTTCCTTTGAACGTTGGGTCCCGCCACTTTCAAACAGTGTCGAGTCGCTGGTACATCGTTCGACTCGCTGGTGCATCGTTCGATTCGCTGGCGCAACGCTCGGATCCAGCGATTCGCTAGCGAATCGCTCGATTCGCAAACTATGACATCGGCCTTACCGTATTCACGACTTCTAGGCCTCGGGAGAGACTCGCAACGCGGGTGTACTTTAAGTTCTTCTCCTCAGGTCAGGTTACCTCAGGTTCAGAACATCTTTTATTTGTTCGTAGCAAGCCTAAGCCTAACCCTTGGCTTCAGGAATCTTCCACGGTGAGGTCAAAGATGAGAAAAATTAGTTTACCTAGTGGAAAGACTCCCTGGAGGTGTGGACCGGCACACAATTCTCCGAAGGAGTAATCCGCCTGCGATCTAGCATGGCCCTTCCCGCGGCGTTACTCCCACAGACTGGCTAACCTCTCGCCGTAGATCTCTAGGCGTTCAGCAGAGGTTTAATGTCACAGAGGAAGGAAGTTGAAATAACCGGGGGAGGAACAAGTTCTATTCTCCGCTTCTTCGCCGTTTCTCATGGTTTTTCTTCATCCCACCACCACTGACTACTTCCGCATTAATTCTAATGGGCTGCCTTCTGATCATACTAATTCTGCCGTCATGGTAAGCGTGTGTAAGCATAAGCCACCTTGGCCTCACTGACGTTAGGCTTCAAAGATCGTCCAGCTTCGGTGACCTGACCTAGGAAGAGAACACGGCTCTCCTCTCATTGCACCCACAGGCACACTGTAGAAGCGATGCTTAGCTGGTGTCTGCCTCCCTCTCACTTCTATAATATCTCGTCCCTTTGTCGTGAGCATCTCCAGTCCGGTCACACACTATTCAGTGCAAGTCGTACAAGCGTAGTCTCGTTTAAAATCCAGGTCTCACCAATTTCCTCTGGAATTCTTAAAAAAATCACGTGACCTGAGAAAGGGGACTGAGCAACACAAAGAGAAACAAACACAGCGCTCCACATATATCTCCATGTTTATCAATTTTTTTTATCATTTTTTTTACCTTTCTTAAGTTAGATCTATTCTAGCTAACGCAAGATACGGGATCATGCGGTAGAAATGCATTTGAACCGCGTGAATTATCTTGTTTTCGTTAAAATTGGGGCCACGCCTTAGGCGGGGTAGAACAGGCCAGGGTGAACATTCTTCATTTTCCTCACAGTTCCTGACCCCTCCTAGGCTTAGCCCTGGAGTATGCCCCGTATCCCGCGATACTTCCCCCTTCCTTCTTCACATACATTATACTGATCTTAAAGGACGAATTCACGATGAAAAGCAACCCATTTCAAATTAACCTAGGGATGGTTA